AGTTATCCCAGTTGTGGTGAGGCTAGAGAAGCGTTGTAAATGGTGTCGCGTGCGCGGCAGTAGCAGGACTAAGTGATACAACGTGGTAATGCTGTAGTCTTTCCAGCCAATTCACTTGAATACCCAGTTGAAACCGATTTCGAATGAAATTGAGATGAGGCTAAGTTCAAAAGCGCTTACTATAAAGAGAACATTTTTGAAACTTGGCGCTAGATAATAATACTAATACCGGGAGATAGCACCACGCTTATTCGAGGAACCGGTTTCTGAAACTCACCCCATATGCTTCACTTTCAAGCAGTGACTCGTAATTGAGCTGTTCAAAGTAGACTTCAATCATTGCGCCTTGTTCTCTGAAAATTCAATTTAAAAAGAATAAAGCACTAAAAATAAGACATTCAATGACCATTTGTGAACCTTTCTATCAGCCTCCAGGGCATGAAAGAGCTCTATTAATAGCTGTTTTGAAAAAAAAAAAACGTGAAATAGAAAGAAGCAGCAGACTCGGAGTAGGCTTCTTCTTGTACTTTCTCGACGCACGCAGGAAGTAGAGCCAGGGACATACGCCCTTTTCTTCTTTCTTTTCTCATTGACGCTTTCTTTTTCCCCTTGGACTCTTCAGAGTAATTCCGATAATCCAATGACTGGAATCAAGGATATCACTGGATGTTCGGCCCAAATTGATCGCGTGGGCGAAGCCAGGCTCTAGGTGCACCCATTTCGAACACGGTTAAGAGAAGCGACGTGCTCATGGGAGAGAAAAAGTGAGAGACCCGATTAGGCAATGGGATCAGCGTAGATTCTGTCCATTTCCTTCTTTCTTGATAGAAGTATGTGAAATCCTACCTTTTGTACAACAAGCAATGAGGTGGAGTCATTCCAACAGGACAGTCACTTAGATCGCCGGGAACGGCTGGCCAGCGAGCTGCTGAGTAGGACCATGAATAGACGTCTTGGCTGGAAACAGTACCCTGAGAAAACTGCAAAAAATACTTATACATGCAGAGAAAGGGTCAAGAGGTCTGATTGGATTCAGGAGATCCGAATAATCGTGACGCAGCAAAAGCGCCGTTGTAGGTGGCGTCAGGTGCCTGTCTCCCAGCCATGACCGTCAGTGGAGGTCAACTGATTCGAGAAACTGCTAGGAATCAACCAGTAGAGAATATTAGCCCAGACGGGCTAGTTTGTGCGGGTAATCGCAACCGGGACCTCATAGCCCATACTCCTTTCTTCCTCGAGAAAGATGTAAAGGTGCATCATGTAAAAATGCAGAATGTGGGTAGGAAATAAGGCTACGCCTTACAGCTTCAACCCCCCCCCCTTGCTGGAGATCCCTGTAGCGTAAGATCTGCCCCGATAAGTATGGCAAGAGCCCACCTGCATGGTTGTCTGCATTTGCATCCGATTGCTTTAGGATTTCGTACAGCGTGCTGCATCTCTCGTTTTAGGCATTCTCCTGTAAATTAAAACTATCGATAGTAGCAATGAAGCTGCAATGAAAGCAAGCCAGCTGCCCGATTGGCTTCAATACAGCAAAAAACTCTGGCCTCCATTGAGGACAGCTGTCAAACTCGTGTACTCAAAGTACAGTATCCACATAGGCGTGTGTACTTGTGCTGGCACATTCTAACAGCTTGCGGTGAGCAATATCATAGGCCAACCGGAACGCTGGCATAAGAGCGCAATGGTACGAATGCCAGCGAAAAGCGTTTTCTGGAATGCCACCACATGACAATGTCTTTCCAAGAAGCTGGTTTACTTGTAGACGTAACATTGGTATGCGATGAAATACGGGGACGCTAGAGCCCCAGAGGAGGATCTACAGACATCCTTGTGTGAAACTGTACTTGCAGTAACGTATACTGTTGTGAAGATGAGGACATTGCCCGAGCCTACAGAGGGAAGCATGAGGTATGTAAACCAGTGTCAAGCGCGGTATTTCCCATCGCATGACTTCAGTTCCAGTTTTGCACGACATATCCTCTAAATGCCCTCCTAAGATTACTGGCGCCCACGGGGACTAGTTGATACATAATTTAGTCTTTACAAGATCGCTGGCTTGTTGAAAGAAACTTTGTTCCGCTGCGACTCGAACCTGCTTCCCGAACCGTGTTCCCGAGATTAGTGCTAACATTACTTGGTAGAAATATCACTTTACGAAAGACAGAGCTCAATATGTATGTAATAACAGTATAAAGTGGTAGTATCAGAGTACCACATTTAGGGTATAGGAGTAGTTTGAAGGGGTACAGATGACTACGCCCACGGCGTAGGTGCAATCTTGGATACGGTATCACTTATTACCAGACCTGGAAGGACAAAAACACCAACGTTTACATCGCCTGACCCCGCAATTCATGACCATGCCCAAATAGCATTCAAAACGCCACTACGATTCTGAAAGAGAGTAGAATGCAAGGCGCATCCTGAGAAGGTATTATTCTTTACTGGAAGCCTTATTGCTTCCCTTAATCAGTATTAAATGGACAACATTGCTCACGTTTACTGGGATCATCAACGGGACAGTTCTTGGTTTTACGAAACGGTGGATAGCGTGGATCACCACAACCGCAAGTTGTAGCCAAGTGCTTCTGAATACAGCTCCGCTGACAACCCTGAAAAAGCTTTTCTGCATGTCTGCCAACCTAACACGATGGAAAAGAAGCTTCTAAAGGGCTGAATTAATCAGTCTTAGCGTTCCAATCTGCTATCCTACCTCTGTATTATATTGTTTAGTGACGTAAATAAAGTCCTTGTCTTTGCCCTCTGTTATGCAGTCGCCATAGGGAGCGGGAAGACGAGTCATTGACTTCTAAATAATCATTCTGTCTCAACAGCTATTGCACTACTCAGGAGGGAATTACGCAAGCTACCAGTTTTATGCCGAAACTACTGACGAATCCGGTAGGAGCAGAGTGGCCCAAAGTGTCCGGAAATGGCTGCTCTTTGACGGAATGCACAGTAAGACGTACACCAGCTGCTTCTGTTGTCGGTAGGTACTCAGATATATTGACGAAAAGTTCGAGACGTAGACCTATATGAACACTTTGCAGAGCTTTCAGAGTGCGTTCGTACTTCGCGCTTTGATCGCGCGAGCGATCTGGCGACTTTGGTCCATTGGATCGCTGGAATCGCGCAGAGAATTAGAACGACCAAACTGCGAACTATGAACCGACCTCTGAGACCAGGAAGATGTATGAACCGACTCTGACAAGATCAGGAAGATTGTGAGATCAGGAAGACTGG